AATATAATTTATATTTTCGCTGGGGTGATCCATGTGATTTCGCAAATCTTACCAGTAATGTGATTGCGATTGAATAGTTGTTGCATTAGATCTCGATTGGTCGACGAATTCTTTCGGCCAGCCTCTGGAATATCGACGTCGTTGTCTTTCACGGATACGGCGATGTCTCCGGCCAGGTGACGATGGCCCACCGCAGCCGGTCGCCCATCTGCCGCCGAATCATCTACAGCGGGCATCGATGTACTCGGGTCGTAGTTCCGTAAGCAATTGTTCTCATCGCCCAGTTGCCGAGTTGAGGCGATGGGTGCAATATTATTGCTCGCATTCGATACGACGTGCTGCAGTAGAAACGCCTTTGAGAGGCTGTAGAAGCGCCTCTCCCTGTCCCTGTCGCTCTCGTTGTCGTTGTCGCTGCCGCTGGCATTGCTGTGGGCATATAACTCGCTGGTCTGTTCAAGCAGGTCCTTCATCTTGCAGATGTGCTCCACGCTGAATGCATGCTTATGCATATTCACCTGTGGTATTTGGCACAATTGGCAATCTTGCAGCTGCTGGTCGTTGCCCTCTTGGCTCAATGCTAGAGTCTTGGTTGACTTGATGCCAGCACCACCAAGACATCCATTGTTGCTGTTATTGCTGTTGTTGCCAACCTCCTTGCCACTGGATCCGTCAAAACTGTTGTCATCCGAAATGTGCGCATATTGTCGTTGATTCCTCGATTTCTTATCTTTAGCTCGAGAGTTCTGAAACCAAACCTGTAAGTCCATTGCAAAGACAGCTGAATTAATAACTATGAACATTCACTACTGACACTTGAATTAAAACATTTTCTAATAAAGTTTACTACGGAATGCATTTATGAAAAATTATTGTTTTAGCAGATCTTCTCTCTTCTAAAGTAAAAGAGCGCATATCGACTTTCGTATGTGTGCAGGTTTACAAAATGACTATTTTGGTTGTTCGGGCTTCTCTCTACGACTTTTCTCTTGAATATCAATCGATGCTGAGACCTTGAGCATTTCGAGACTCCAACTTTCAGACGGACATGACCGTTCTGTGGTCATTATACATGGATTATACAAGGTTTTGGTTAAACTTTCATAATCCACACCCTTTGATTAAATTATTTTTTGCTTAGTCTTATTTCTAAATTGAAAATCTTACTCCAATGCAGCAGATAGCCGATATAAAATATCAGATATATGTTCTTCTTCGTTCTCCCATTGATAATAGAGATGTCGATCTAATGTGAGGCGGTACTTAAATTTGATTTGGTTTAATCATTTACTCGTTAACAAAACATTTTATTTGGCGCCCGAATTTTAGTGCACAGTTCACAGTTATGTTTTCAGTTTTCACTAAAAAAAATAAAATAAAAGTAAAATAAAGCAAAAAGAAACGTTAATAAGCTATGAAGGTCAAAATTAACAAGTAAGAAAACTCTAGTCAAGAGTGCTCGTCTAGATACTACCATGAACCAAATTAATAAAAACGTAAATTTAGTATACAGTTAAAATTTAAGTTTCGATGTATTTAAAAATATAAGAGAATTAGGAAATTGATTTAATTAAATATAAAAATATTTTGAATCAATTAAAAACTAAATACGCTCGATCGAGCGTCACGTTGCTTAAAGGAATTTAATGAAGCTTTTAACATCTACACATTCTATTGAATATTTGACAAATTTAAAAAAATGAAAAATCATTCAGAGTTAGCTATACTGGCATCTGACTTTAACTTGATTGTTTTTATTCGATAAAAACATAACGGGATGGTTTATCGAATTTTAAAGGCAAACTCGACATCCGCTCTGTATATACGAATATTTAAAAAAATCAAGTCTCTAGCTCTTACATCTTCTGAAATCGACGCGTTCAAACATACGGACAGACGGACGGACGGGCAGACAGACGGACAGGGCTAAATCGAGTCAGCTCGTCGCCCTGATTAAGTATATACATTGTCGAGCAAAACTGTAACACGAATTCAATGCAACTTCAATGGGCTCAGGGTATAAAATAAAATATGAAAATTTCGGAGAAACGAATGGGGGGATGCGAGCCAAAAGTAGAATAAATCAAGACAAAGCCGGGAGACGCCGACCAAATTTGTAATATCCGATTTCGCTGAGCGAATATATGGATAGTTAAACGGAAGAACTGGACTGGCATTGCTTGACGCGGCTTCGACTTACCTGTACGACACGTTTTTTAAGATTGACTTTTTTGGAAATCTCCTCAAGCATTTTACGGCTGGGATTCGACTCGGTCTGGTAGCACTCGTACAGGAAGTTCAATTGATCTGGAAGTATTGTTGTTCTCAGCCGTTTGTTCTGCTTGGAAGGCGCGCTGAGCGGCACTGATGTCGTGTCCAGGGGCAAACAATCATTGGACTTGATACTCTCAACTCTAGGACTTGGATTCTCGTCGTCATTGAATGTTAGCATTTGCGAATTGTTCTCAATCATTGTTGCGTCGAGGAAGTCTTCGAGGTTTTGAAAATACTGCGGCTTGTCGTTGAGCGATTTCTGCTTGTCTCCATTGATTGCTTCATTCGACTGGTTCAGTTGTTCCAAGGCCATGTCACGACACTCAATGACATCATTTTCCTTTGTATCTCTGCTCAGCATGCGTTGAGCTTCGTTGATGTTTATGTTGATATGGTTGTTATTGAGCTTCGCGTCGGGCGGCAGAAGATCATTCGCATCAGCTGGACAGCCTTGAGTTCCGTCTGGATCGATGCAATTCTCCTGCACCTCCTCCAGGTGCTCAGTTTGCTCAACCTTAACCTTTTTCTCTTGCAGCTGCTGCTGCTCCTGTAAGCCGATCAATGTGTTTGGTTCATCCGTCGTCGCGTTCGGCTGCTGCGACGACGGTTGAGACTTGGTTTGGGGCGAGGCGGCTAACTGAAAAAACTTCTTAGATTCATTTAGCTGATAGTATTGCAACAGGAATTCAATTGTGGGTTTCTTGCTGGCGCTAAATGACAGTTGCTGATTGTGCTGCTTCAATCCATCCTCATTTTTTCGATAGTATTGCAATAAAAAATCATAGCTATTGACCTTCTTCAGTTCTCTTTGTTGATAGAAATCGCTCAAGAACTCTAGCTCCAAGTCCGTTTCATTTCCTTGTTGCTGCTGCTGCAGTTGATGCTGAAGTAGAAATTGTTGTTTAAGCTCTGCGCTGGCTTCGTTCTGCATAAAGTATTGATATAGGAACTCGTATTTCTTTTGAGTAGTCTCAAACTCTCCCATTGATACCTCCTCAGCGTTGGAAGAGCTTTCAGAGCATTTTCTTTTCTTTGCTGGCGGCTCTTGTTGTTTCTGCTGCTGTTGCTGCTGCTGCTGCGCCGCTTGCTGCAGCCCCTGCAATATACTGCCAAAGGGGCCATAAGCTGCTTCAGACTGACTGGCCGGCTGATGGCTGCTGGCAGAAAAGAGAGCCGGACTCATCAAGTGCATGAGCTGATGCTCACGCAGTGACTCCAATTGATTGAACTGCATTTCGCACTTCTCACAATCAAATTTTGGCAAGCGTTGCTGGTCCAGACTATTGCTGCGCTCCCTCTGCGGTGGCGTTGGTGTCGTCGATGGACTAAAGTCAGTTAGCGATGAGGCCTTGCTAAATAGATGCTGCGGCGATGGAGATGATCCAAATGGCTGTGAGCTCGAATGAGCCGAATGAGCAGAATGTGCCGAGTGGGCTGCTGCTGCTGCAGCCACAGCAACAGCAGCTGCCACATTTGGACCCAGGCTTCCTGTTGCCTGGTGATTATGTATATCCATAGAGGAATTGGAGTCCTCTGAACTAAGATTATGAGCGATTTGCGCAGCTGCAATTTGTGCCTTGGCCGACTTCTTGTTGTTTTCCTCCTTGAAGCAGTGATTCTTCTGATGGCGTATCAGCTCGTAGTAGCGCTGAAATATCAGACTGCACTTCTTGCAGGCGTAGTTGATGTTCTGCTTCTTAGTCTCCTCGCTTTCATACAGGGAGTTGTTCGGCTGATTCTCATAGATTTTGCGCTGCTTCTGTCGTGCGTTCTGGAACCACACAACAATTACCCGTGGCGACAGTAGCAGCAACTTGCTTAGGTACTCCAGGTCACTGTCCTTAGGATACGAATTATTCTCAAAAAACTCTTGCAGCACCTTGATTTGATAGTCCGTGAAGCGCGTGCGATTCGCACGCTTGCCGCCGGATGTTGAGGACGAGGAGTTCGATGAGTTCGATGAGTTGCTTTCCAAGCAAACTTGCGCTGTCGGCAAAGCCCGGTCGCCTGACGATGAGCTCGTTCCCGCTAGCTTCTCAAATGATTTACCAGATATCTGCAATTTCTTCGGCGGTCCCATATTGCTGCCAATGTTCTCCAGCTGCTGACTAAGTAAATCGTTCATGCTACTATACAAATTGCCGGGTGCAATGCTATTCGGCGTCGGCGGTCTTGATAGCACATCCGAGCTTCCACTCTCCGACTTCGTTTCAAAGCAATTCGTTTGCTGTTGCTGCTGCGGCTGTTGCTGTTGCTGCTGACTTTGATGGTGCCCGGCTGATTGCTGCTGCATTGGGTTATCATGCATGTCCATACTGAGATGTGGCATCAGCGACTCTGCTGACTCCATTTGTTGCTGTTGGTTCAGAAACTGAAACACCTGCTGTTCTTTCTGCTGCTCCTCCTGCTGCTGCTGCTGCTGCTCCTGCTGATGCTGATTCTGCTTCAGCTGGCATTGACTTTTGTGAAAGAAGTCAAGGTGGTCGTCATGCGGCTCAGATTTGATTTCCACCTCCAATGGCAATGCGTTTACCTGCTCGGCTACCGCCTGAGTGGGCATCATGTCAATAACTTGCGCTTTAAAAAAATCACTTATGTTGCTGTTGCTACTCAGATCTTTTGCAGTTGCTGTTGCCGTTGCCGCTGGTAGCGATGTTGTTGCTATTAGGTTGTTGCTGGCTGCAGCTGCTGCTCCTACAGCTGCCGCTGAAGCTGGCGCCACTGGAGCATCCGCTGGAGCTAAAGAGGTCACCTTTGCTTGTCCTGTACGTTCATATTCCTCTAGATTAAGAGTAGTCGACGGCGGATTATTGAAGTTGTACGGCGAGTCCTTGTTGCGCTGTCGTTCCTTAAACAACGTGTTGCGGAACCAGTGCTTAACAACCTGCAAAAGTATTTATTAATGTCTTATCATCTCTCGCTCTCTCGCTCTCTCTATACCTTCATTGGCAGATTTGCCTTCTGGGACATTTCCATAATGCTCTCCTCGCTGGGCGAATTGTTTATGTCGAAATGAGCTCTCAATATCTTCAGTTGGTCGTCGGTGATGCGAGTGCGAGCGCGCTTCTGGTTGCTGCTCAGTTGCTGCCGAGTGAAAATTGAATTCAAATTGAGTTAGCTCGACTGGGACTTGCGGTTTCGTTTGGGCCTTACCTGAGTGTTGTTGGGCGGAATGAGGTTGATGCTGGTGGCATCCGCTGCCAGGCTGCCGCCTGCTGTAGCGCCTGAGCTCTTTGACTGGCGCTCGGAGCTTCCAGCTGCAGCTGCTTGGACGGAGCCTATGCCATTGTTCTGGACTCCGCCAACTCCAGCTGCTGCGGCTACTGCTGCTGCTCCAGCGGCTCCAGCTGTAGCATTGCCACCAAATATCAACGGCGGTGCCAGGTTCATAAAGTTCAGTGACATCAAGTGGTGGAATTGCATCAGATTGAGCATGTCCACCGGATTAATAGGCATCCCTGAGCCCGCCGCTGCAACATTCAATTGTTGCTGTATTTGCTGCAAGCTCTGTATGCTCTGAAGTCCTTGAAAGGACTGCGGATTGATGTTAACAAATGGAGCTGATTGCTGCTGCTGCTGCTGCTGCTGATGAGCCTTGTCTTGCTGCGCCTGCAGCTGCAACTGTAGCTGATGAAGGTCGCCACTTGAGATCGCTAATTGCTGGTCATCCGGTGCCTCTTGCTGCTGCTGTTGCTGTTTGAGCAGCGCAGCAGTTAAAACTGCAAAGTGTTGATTCTGCTCCGTTGCCGAAGGCTCATCTAGCGCGCTTGGCGACAGCAACTGAGAGCTCGAAGCTCCTTCCTTCGCATGTACGTCTAGCGGCAATGGCGAGGCTAGGCGCTGCGGCGATTGCTTTGCTCCAGTCTCATTCGCCTTGGCCACTGGACAACATGAAATATGCAATAAAATTTGGTACACATATTCACTTTCACATAGGCTCATTTTCCTACTGGGGATAGCATTTGGTACAAGCTCGACTGGAAGATATCCTGAGCATCTTGATAAGCAACTAGGAGAAATCGTACGGAACTGTAAACGGACAATTAGCCAAATATGCCTTTTGCTCAATTGCTCTTAATAAGATCAATGGGTAAAGCCTTCAAGTTTTGATCGGCCTGTATAGACCAGGGCTGCCTGTCTAAGTATTAGATTGTATTAGATCGATCTAACAAGCTGTAAGGCTCCGATATAGAAATTCGGACATACGGACAGGGCTAGATAGATTTATCCCGATCTGGAATAAATGTTGGAGTGACCGCGCCTGACTCTGCCTTTTTTTCGAAATGTGTTCGAGAAGGCTAATACCACACCCAAAATTTCTATTATGAATGGATTCGTGTGTAGGGTAAAGGTCTTTGGAAAACTTACCTCTTTCACTGGCTCGTGTGGTAGTAAAATCAAAAACATTTGTCTCGGTTGGTTTATCTATCCCGCTTGCACCATACAACGGACTAGGTGACATGTCCCCAGGACTGCTCGTGACGGGCGAGCATTCGGTCGGGTGCGCCTGTTCCATGTGCTTCTGCAGTGCCTGAGTGCTGCGGAAATTGCGCTGGCACAGCGAGCACTTGGTTGCATCTCGCATGCTGTGGTAGAGCATGTGAGCGGTAAGCTTTTCCTGCGTCTTAAATGCCAGGGAACACTGCTTGCAGCGGTACTTATAGACGTGCCGCTCCGAGATGACCAGACTCATGTGCGAGTCCTTGAAGTGCCCAGTCATTGCGGACAAGCTACCAAAGGTCATATAGCACGGCCGACTGCCATGGTTAACAAGCAAACAAAGATATTCGCCGCTTTGCATTGGATAATGCTGCGCCTGCTGCGCGTGTTGCAGCAGCTGCTCTTCGTGCTTGAAGTTCGCCTCGCACTGCTGGCACGCCAGGCCCTGCATAACGCCAGTTGAGACAGCTGTGGGTGTGGGCGTAGCTGTGGGCGTGGCATCACCCATCGCTCCTTTGCTGTCGTCAGTTCCCATTGTTGTCGTCGTCGTCGTCGTCGTCGTCGTCGTCGGATCAGTGTCTTTAAGAGGCCGCCACGCTTTGTGATTGACCAGCTGCAGGAGTCGAGCGAGTCCGTCTCGCGTCACACTGTGTACGCTCATCAGATGCGTTTCCAGTGATGACTTTTCGTTATATCCGCTCTCCAAGCATAGTGGACATGAGACACCCGATTTGGGCAGCTTCTCGTTCGCGCTCTTGGCGTCTTCCTTGACCTCAGCTCCAGGCGCTTCGTCGGTATCGTCCAAGCGCTCGCGCTTTATTTCAACGGGGCAGTCATCCATGTCCACTCCGGAACCACGCCCATCTGGAGTCGTGGGCGTTGGAGTTGGCGTCGAAGAGGGTGTGACACTGCAGCGCTGGACGGCAGCTAGAGCAGCAGCTGCGATAGCTGTTTGAAAGGCCTGCAGCGCAGCCGTGTTTGTGGGCATACTAACATAGTCGTCTGTCTCAGAACTAGGATGAACAGCCTCAATGTGGCCCTCCATATCCTTTTTCGATTGCACAAAGTATTCGCAGATGTTACATTTGAAAATAGTCGTCGACGCACAGCCTGATGATAAGGGGGAAGGGACGCGCGCCTGTGCCTTGCCACTGGAAGTTGCACAGCTGGAGACGGAGGCCGGCGAGAATATATTGACATCCGTGGAAGGTCCAAAGCCCATTTCTGTCGCTGCACCAGCAGAAGCAGTCGTAGCTAAATTGAGGCCGCAGTCGAGGCTTGAATCTGCAATCGAAAAGACGGACATCGATATATATATATGTATATAGGGGAGAAAGGGGCTAAGATTCAATCTCTACTTTTAGGGACGCATTGTATAATGTCCGTGGGACAAGAGGACAAGAGGGTATGTATCAAGGCGTATATTAAACAACTGCAGAATACTTATTCACATTCCATCGGCTATTTAGAAGCAAAGTTTGGCTCTAATACTACTCTAATGTTTTCAACGATTTGCCATACAGACAGAGGGACAGTCGGACAGACGGACATTGCACAAAAACAATATATGAATGAGTATAATAATCGATTGTAGGATTGTTGGACTGGAAAAACATTATAAGTGAAGCGGGTGCTTCTGACAATCCCTGTGTTGTAGGTATATGAATGAAGTGTATATAGGAATCTGAGAATGAGTACGGCAAGAGCTCTCCTCAGGCTCAGGATATCTCCTAGTTGGGTATTTAGAATGTGGCCTTTATCAAGGATAATCTGCTTTTACATATACCATATGGATAAGGATCGATATCCAGGGCATTGCAAATATCTTTATCTATGCGAACTTGCAGTGCGCAATGTTCAACACACCATATTATCAATACTACCAATGTATTTTATTTTAAAGACAATTTTATTCTCTTAACGATGAATTCCCTTTCCAGCAGGTTGGAGTGCCCTCGCACACAGCCAAACAAACCAATCGAAAATTGGTGGCTAATGCAAAGTAAGCTTTGAAATGAGCCACAAAGGAACATTTCCGACTTGCAAATCAAGTTGCAAGATATAGGATAGGATAGGAAATCATATACCACTAATCAATAGTGGTAATTTGTTTCTTATCTCTTAAGTTTACCTTTAAAATAAATGACTCAAATTGTTGTTGTTGTTGGAAATAGAAAAAACCTTYTTTTTTCATCGTCAATAATATGAAATTCTCGTTAAGACACAGTACATTGGAATGCGTTATCTTTAGTAGAATTGATACTATATAGATGTGTTGAACATCGCGCAAATAAACATACTGTTCGAATTATTAGTTGGTTGGGACTCGTATGAAAATTTGATTGAATTAATTAAAGAGCTTTGCATCTCCTCGAAAAGCACGCACATACAAACAGAGACTTGATGCTTTTTTTTAACGTACAGATTAATAATCCTGTAAGAGACCCCTTTGGCTAATCAATGACTTTGATAATAGGAGCGACCACAACAAAGCCGAAACGCACAACACGTTCACAGCCAGAACAAGAAATCCAGAATCCAGAATCAAGAGCCCAGCGCCCAGTGCCCATGCCCATACCATGCGTAACCCTCAGTCCGACTTCGTCTCTATCTCCAACTCCAACGCGAACTCTGTCTGATTTGGATTGGTGTTGGTGTTGGTGTTGGAGCCGAAGTTGGTCTCAGCTGCGTACAGTTAATTGCAAGCAAGGGTGCAGCCGTTGTGATACGGACCAAATGCGAATATATTTCAAATTCCATTACCAATTTCAAAGCAATTTCCATACAGCTTGATTGCATCGAATTAAAAAGCCGACAACAAAAAAGCCCCAGATACCGAGAACTTTCTGGAGTCGAGCACAACTGACTGCACAATACTCGCTCACAGATTTTTATTAATGATATTAACGTCGCATCTACATATCTATGTAGAGTATATAAATTCTTGAAAGAAAACAATGAACTTGGCCCATATAGAGAGGGTCATAGCTAGAGGGAAATAACAAGGGAGGGAGAGAGACTTGTTGTTCATGGCATAATAAGCTAACTAATCGATAATAATAAAAAATTGAATACTATTTAAGAAGAAACAATTAAAATTTAATTAAAATTATTTTTATTTTTCCTCCCATTTTTTTTTTTGTTTTTTTTTGTTTAATCTTATTATTATTATTATTTTACCTTCCCAAATGTCTGCAATAAAGATACACACGCACTCATTCAAACGCACACATACACGCATAGAAAGACTTATAATACGCGATGCGTTCGTAACTCATCATTAAGAACCGAGATCCCAGTTCGATTTTACTTTTTTGGTTGCCCGATTCTTCGATTATTATCGTTCTTGTGGCGAAACGCGCCAGTTTCCTCCCCTCTCCGTCTTATTCCATTTGTCTATCTGTCTCTCTCTTTCGCTCGCTCGCTCGCTCGTTCTCTTTATATATAGACACATCACTATCTGTCTGTGTTTTACGTTGTGTGTATGCGCGTGTGTGTGTGTGTTGCCCCTCTGCCGATTTATATGCGCTTTGAGATTTATACGCTGACGCTGACCCTTGAGGAAATTATTACAAATTACTTAAGAATGCAAAAACGATTATATGTATCCATCGAATTTGCAATTAGTGACGTGCACAACACACACTTTGCTCCACGTCCAGGCCCGACCTGAGTCGCTGCTTGCAGTTTGCAGCTCTCAGTTTTCAGTTGGAAGTTGGCAGTTGGCCCAAGAGCAGGTAAATACAGTGTGATGTTCCATATCTCAGCTGCGGCATCGTGCGGGGTGCCGTACCGCAGGCTTAGCACCTAAGCCACAGAGCAACAGCAGACGCTGCTGCGCGCAGTGGCCATAACCAAAGAGAAACAGAGAGAGAGAGGGAGAGAGAGAGAGCGAGAAGGAGAGGGGCAGATCACAGCTGGCAAGAACCTGGAATCCGGATTTTGTGCTGTACACGGTATACTCCCACCAGCGAAACAGACACAGCTACAGGGTATCTAGGCTCTCTCCAATGATGGATAATAGCACTCTGCCCTGCGCCTTCTACACTCTCTCTCTTTCGACCTCTCTTCCTCCCTGGCAATTGGCTTGTAATTGTTTTACTCTTCGGATCTCTGAATCCAATTTTAAACAATTATAAACCTTTTCTTGAGCCGTAGTAGACGTCGGCCGATCATTTCTGTCCCTCTCTCATACCACAAAATGTATTTGGCCAACTGCTGTCATTTTTATTAAGCACTACGAGCATTTTATTTTTGATTCTAGACCCAACTGGCCAGCTGCCGTCCGCCCTACACATGTGTTTACTTAAGGACTTGCTCGGATCTATCTGATCCCACTTGGACACGGACCCCGGCTGTTGGTAAGAGGCTCCTAGGACCCTCCCTAATTGTAATTGCTCTAATTGTTGTATCTTAATTTTGAGGTCTGTGCGGAACGACATCTAGGCTTCTAGTTAGGCGTTCGATCTTGAAATGTATTGCATAAGCTTCTGGTGCATTTAACATGGTCTACTGGTTTCTCTGGGATTGGCTAACACGTACCTTCAGTGGGGGCCAGCGGCAGTTGTTCGGTGACCTTGAACACCTCGTTGAGTCCGAGCATCTCCATATTTTCGCTACGGCGCTGGAGGCAAATGAATTGCTCAACCTGCATGTGCCGCAAGCCCTTCACGTGTTGCACCATGTCATGCAGATTTTTGGCAACAAAGTTACACAGTTGACAACAAAGGGATTTCTTCGGCGACGTCGATGATGCTGATGGCGATGTCTGTTGTTGTGGTTGTTGTTGTTGTTGTTGATGTTGATGTGGCTGCTGCTGCTGCTGCTCCTGCGGATCGTCATTGAGTAACTGCATCGACATCGGCATCGACATCGGCATCGACATCGACATCGACATCGACATCGGCACAGGCATCGACGACTCCCTGTAACTACGATGCATGCGACTCTTCTGTATGATGTGCAGCAAGTGCTGAAAGATCATGCGCATTGTGTCATGCCGCATCTGCTGCGTGTGCAGCGAGAGCTTCTGAATGGAGTTCGTGTGGTAGTCGCAGCAGTTGCACTTCACCTGCACCACATTCGCCGCTAGCTGGGTTTGGTATTGCAGCTTATACTCGTTGCGCGGCCCACCCTCGCGAATGTGATTGATAAAGTTGAGCTTCTGCAAGTGCTTGTCCGTCTTGCTGTGCAGCTGGAAGTTGGCCTTCAGATTGGTCTTGTAGTTGCATAGGCGGCAAATGTAGTTGTTGTTGTGGATGACCATGATGTCCGTGGAGGAGCTCGACAGCTGCCGCGATCGGTCCAGCAGCAGGTGCTGATTCAGCTCCTCCATATCGTTGGTGCTATAGCAATCGCATATCAGGCAGCTATATAGGGCCGTGGGCCACGGCTCCGGCTGGCTCTCCGAGTACGCGTCAAGCGCCTCTAGCTCAACGCTCGTTGCAGTCGCCAGATTCCCGATCCCCGTTGGCATCTTCATGGGCTTTGGCGAGTAGGCGGCGAACGTGGCGTGCAGCTGCTCAGGCGTGCTAGCCGGCGAGCCCGTGTTTGTTGGCGACATTTTGCTGGCAGTGGAGGGCAGCAACTGCTGCTGCTGYGCCTGGGCATTCTGCTGCAGCAACTGTATCATCAGCGCTTGATTATAAGCCAAGTCAGCTAAGGCTACCTCCGGCCCAGCTGTCATAAAGCTGCTCGAATTGCCAGTTGCTGCTGGTTGCTGCTGCTGCTGCTGCTGTTGCTGCTGCTGCTGCTGCTGCTGCTGAAGATAATTTAATGCCTGGATGTGCTTAATGTTATTCTGCAGCACTGCCATGTTGTGCGTGTGTTTTTCACTGGTCATGTGGATGCGCAGATTTCGCGCCACCGATGTTTCGTAGCTACAGATGTCGCAGCGAAACGTCGGTTTCGGTTTGGTCGATGACAATGTTGCTGCCGTCGTCGCAATCTCCTTCGATATTGCTGCATTACCTGCAGCAGCATTGGCATTGACTGAAGCGCCAACACTCGCTGCCGCTGCTGCTGTTTGAGGCGGTGCAGCTTGGGTCGGTGTTGGACTGGGAAGCATTAGCTTGGCGCTAGCTGCTGCTGCTGCTGCTGCCACTGCAACCATGTTCTGCGAACTGTTCAGCTCCTGCATATTGTTCAAATGCTTGTCCGACTGCATGTGTATCGATAGGTTGCCCTTCGTTGTCGTCGAATAGTTGCAAATTTCGCAGCGATATGGCTTATAGCCGCATGAGTAGGATTCGCCACGAGCCAGCCGTGGATGCTGTTGACCTGAAACGATTTGATTTCATGTGAATATTTTTATGATTGAGTAAAAGTGCTCGATTGCCAAATACCCTAAGTCTGGCACCTGACTGCGCGGTGACTCCGATCCGTTATATCTATTCCAACCGGAAACTGCGTTCCCTAGCCTAAATATACCTCGCAGCTTCGGCTGCAAGTCTGGCCAACAATCTGGACTTTCAGATGCTGAAATCTAGACTTTATATATAGCTTGCTCTCAGCCTGGAGCTCCATCAGAAATTGAGTGAAAACAGAGCTCAGCTCTACTGCAACCTACATCCCTCTGAGTACGGCTCAGAGTCGGGCTGGTACCTCCTACTCTCTCTTTCTATCTCTCTCTCTTTCTCTCTCTCTCTCTTTCTCTCTCTCTCTCACACACAATTTCTTTTTATACATAGAGCTGATATCGCTCGCTGTCTCTCTCTTTCCGTTTCACTCTCTATCGCTCTTTCCCTCTCACTCCCACACACTCTCTTTTCCCTCTTTCCTCTCTTTCTTCCTCTCTCTCTTCCTCTCTAGCTCTTTTCTTTCGAGTCCTACCTGCTAAACAGTATCCGCAGGCACTCTCTCCATCTGGATGCTTCTCACGCATATGGATTTCCAAAGTTTCCTGGTATTTGTAGTGCCAATTGCATTGCGGACATTTTAGAGTTTTGCAGGAGTTACGCGTGGACATCTGAGCGCCGCTGTTAAGACGAGCCGAGTTCAATAGCATCTCGCAGCTGCAATAATAAACAGTGAAATAAAACAATGAAATAAATTGTAGCATATATACATACATATGTAGCCTGTCGAAAGGGAAGTGCAAATTGTTAGAGGTTCAAAATATTTTCTGATATTTTCTTGATATTTTCTTGGTTTCTCTTTGTCGATATCTGAACTGTTTCGGACTCCTGGAAATGGCAAATCGTTTATCCAAATAGAAATGCAACCTATGCATACGGATAACGGATACGGATAACTAACGCACTACAGGGAACGGGCGACTTGAGTTCATACTTGAACCATTATATATAGTCAGCCGAGACACATATACTCAAAGCCCTTAATTTTGGACACACATATGACCACGGATATGGGAGATTGAAAAGGCCACAGATATCGATGCTTTGAGAGAGAACTGAGATGAGATGCAGGTAATTGAAATAATTAGAACTACTTTATATCTATACGGGTTTCAATCTCAGCTCAGAGAATGAATGCTCTATGCTCTGTGCTATGTGCGCTTCATGACTATCATGAGTACTTAATTTGAATTCGAGTCGGACGACTCTATTGTAAATGAGTGGCACATTCAATTAGTAAGTAGTTCACAATGGACGGGACGGGCAAACAGCACCCTACAAAGTGTTGATGGAATTTTATGATCGCAATACATAGCGGCAATTTGAATTGAAGCCGACATATATGTATATATATATATATAT